AAAAAAAAAAAAAAAAATCAAAGAAGATGGAAAATCAGGCCAGGGACAGCCGGCCACTATGGGGCTAGCCATCTCCCTGTTTGAGATGTTCCCTCCCCGCCCCAGGCCAAGTGGCAGAACCAGGTCTTCAAGGTCCTTCAGAAGGTCAGGAGTGAGGGGGCCAATCGCACTTCCGGGGGCAGAATATTCCAAAAAGCGGGGGCCACCGCAGAGAAGGCCCGCCTTCTGGACCCCGGTAGATGGAGTTCTTTTACTGAGGGGGTCCGAAGCATGCCCTCTCTGTGTGACCGGGTGGGACGGGTTGAAGTGATAGGGGAGAGACGGTCCCTTAGGTAACCTTTGGTTGTACAGAGAAAATTCTCTCTATTAAAGGAATCCTCTTGAAATGCCTTTACAGAAGCTATACTAACTTGCTGCCCTGATTAATATGTTGGAATTACAACTCCTATAATTCGCAGTCAGTGCAGTATTGGCCCACGTTGGCTAAGAATTCCACATCCATCTAGAGCAGGGGTTCCTAAACTTTTTGCTATCACACCTCCCTTTAGTGTAATCTTAATATAAACACCTCCCCTAGAAATCCAGGCACCAAAATGAACGCAAATGAACAATGAAAGCAATACAATGAAATTTGGGGAAAGGTGGATTTATTGTAACAATGTACAGCTAATAGGTTCTTCACATCTCCCCTAGACTCTGTCTGCACCTCCCCAAGGGATGTACACCTCACAGTTTGGGAAACCCTGACTAGAGGATGTCAAACGGGGAATGCTGAATTAAAACATTTTATGTATAATGTTTTGAGTCCCAAAGACTTGAATTTACTAAGGTTCATAGCATCAGATACCAGTTTATATTTTTATTGCATCAGGAATCTTATTCATATGTTTCACATTGAATTTAATATAAAATAATAGCAAAACTTTTAACTATCAAACATCCACCAATATGAAAACAATACTTGGTTTTCTAATGGATTTTCTTATAAAAAATGAATGATATGCACTCATTGGATTAATCTACTTGCTAGAATGAATTACATTTTTTTGACAATGTCTAATAATTTTTACATTTTATGCCTGTTGCTTCTGACAGGAAAATAAGCAGTATAGATCTTTAATAGTAACTATTAGTAGCGTTGACTTCAGTGCTTTTGCAAATGCAGTAAAAATTCAATTTTATGGACCAACTTGGGGAAGAGATGTCTCTTGGAGCTGCACCTCATTAAATCTACTGTTTGTAATTTGTATCAGTTCATGCTATTTGCATAATTACCAAACTGATGTAATTTACTTGCATCAATGTACATTAGTTGCATAATTACACAAATTAGGTACATTTACAGAAATGATTTGAGTTACATCAGTTGTCCAGTTTTGGAAACAACTAGGATTATTTGGGGGTTAAATTGGAACTAAAACTTTGCCCATGAAGTTTGAACAAGGGGTCCATAAAATTGATTTTTTTCCCCTGTATTTGGTTTAAAAAATACTTTTTACAGAATGATAGATAGTAAACATTGATAAATCTTAGATCTTTATCACTTAAACAAGCTATGGAGATGGTTGACATGGAAGCTTGGATTCTGGGCCTTGCCTCCTCACCTACAGTGCCAAATTTCTCCTCTGAATTATGAATGAGCAACCTATAGGCCACGTACAACCCCAACCCACATTTAACAGCTCCAGAAGAACCCCTAGATTAAGTTACTGAAATTAAGCAGATCTTTGGTAGTGCAGTTTTCCTCTTTTAAGGGGAAGGGGCAACAAATACAAATAAATTAAGCCCCTTAATACACCTGTTTTGCCTTTTAAATACTTCTAAACTCTCCATAAATAAAAATCAGCAATAAGATCTCAAGGCTAAGGGGTGAAATCTTGAAATCCATGAAATTTCAGGATCTGAGGTAGGGAGGAACTCATGCCATTGAAAAAGCTCATGTAATAGCCATGAATCATTGACATGAAGAGTCACCAATCAGTGACTCAGGATTTCTTAAGTGGAAGGAGTTGAAGCCCAGGCAAGGTACCCTTATATAGCTTGAGAATCAAAATGGACTTCTGCATAGCTTGCTTGAATCACCATTTAATATCCAGAAGTTAATTGAAAAATATATGAAATTTTGAGCAGCAATTGCACGTTCACTGGAATTATATTAATTTAGCATGGAAGCCCCCTCTAATGTTCGGTGTAACTATGATTTCACCTTCCTTACCCAGCTCAGTTCCCAACAAAATATTGCCCCTATGTGGCAGTTAATGTCAGGATAAAAAATCATTGTCATTAAGGGGAGCTTGCCTCCAATATGAAATATTGTACTGTACCTGGAAGCAGGTATGTTCATCCTGAGCATACCTGGGAAGGTAAGGGAGAAACTACACCATCTCTTTATCCTGGTATGCCAGTAAAAAATGGAGCCCTCTTCTAGTGTTTTTTAAACAAAAAAAACCTTTCACAGTATTAAAGTTGTCTTTGTCCCTAAAGTGAAAGTTATATAGGTAGATAGGAAGAAAGGAAGAATTAGTCAAAAAAGGACCAGAAGGATAAGTTTTAATGTATTTTGTTGTCCTCCCTCCCTCCATCTCTCTCTCTCTTTTTCTTTCATATCGTATTTCTTTATATTTTTCTTTCTTCCAAATGTCCCAGTAATATCCTGATGTTATACCTTTAAGGATAACGTATGCCTTTCCATTCACGTGCATTCTCCACTAGAAACTGTTTATCCATACTTAGTTATTTACAGTTAGTGTTATAATGCCTATCCAAGCAATTCTGGGTGATTGACAGTAGTATGTGAAAAAATCTGTAACTTGCAATTACTGAAAATATTTTTTAAAAAAATCTGGTGGTGCCTTGCAAACTCACTTCAGCAGAGCCCTACCAATATTGCAGTCATCAAACGAAGACTGTCTACCCTAGTATTCTAAGGCACAAGTATTCTTTTTCTGTGGTCACAGATCCAAACAGTCATCATCTCCGACCGAAAAAAAAATGCCAGAATCTTCACCTGTATCAAAGAGAAAAAGCTATGAGAAATCTGGAGATAAGCCTAAGTCAAAAGAACAAAAACAGTAAGATGCTTTATTTTAAATAACATTGATTTTATATATGGTCTCCTGCAAAAGTTGAACATGATTTTGCTTTGTTGAAGAAGCTGCCTTTGTAACTCTGCTTCTGCATGTCACCTAATGGTACACTTAAAAGCAGCATGTAAACTTCATTAATATTGACTATTTATTACTGAGGGTACTCAATCTTGGAACAATATGTTTTCCATTGTAGAGTTCTCATATTTACATTTTTTTCTTCCATAGCCCTTAATTTCTTTTAAGTTATCATACTGCTATCTCGTGGCAGCATATTTTATTATCTTTCTAATCTACCAGAGGAGCTTGCAATAAACATTTCTAAACTAAGCAAGCAAACATCAGTGAGTTAGTCCATTGCATACATTGTTGATTTTAACCTCTCTAACCATTTCATTTACTTTTTTTATTTTAATTTTTTTATTTACAATTTGCTTTTAATGTTTAATTTTTTTCTTGTAGCTCAGATTCTGGAACCTCAGAGGCTAGTCTGTCACCTCCTCCTTCCCCACCAAGCCGGCCCCGTAATGAACTGAATGTTTTTAGCCGTCTTACTGTTTCTCAGGGAATCCCATCAGTTCAGAAGGATAAGTAAGTCACAAAGCAAAGATCCGACTCCCTACAGCATTGATGGTACCCAAAGCACACATGAGCCTGCAACAGAGCTGCAGAATGCTTTGGTTGTGGCCATCTCATGCTAGAGCTGAAAATACAGTTCATTTGTTGCTTCCACACCCTTAAAATATGGCATTCCTAATTACATAAACTATGTTTCCTGCTGAAACCTACTTCTTATGCCTATATAAAATCATATTCCCTGTAACCTCTGAATAGCCAGTTTTTCTCCAGTGTTTTTGGGGCATGGGAGTACCTCTGTGAGTTTCTGTGCTGTTGAATGACGTAGTGTCAGCATTCATATAATTATGGCATTCCTATATAAGTGGATTAACAGGCAACTTTTATTCTCATTTGCCCTGAAATCACACTTTCAGGGCAAAGGAAAAACTGGAAATACTGACTGGAGGAAACTTTAGTACTTTTTGCTTTGTTCAGTATTTATTTTGAAGTGGTAGCAGTTTGAGTTGATTCAGATTCTTTATTGCAGTTGTGCTGCACTTTCAGCGCTAATATATTGTGCTTAACTTTAAGTTTTTGCCAGTAGTGCTGTAGGCCTTTTTTTTTCTTTCTTTGCTGGTCTTTCTGTAGCTTGATTTAATGTTATCCCCCTACAATCTCTGGTTGCTATACATGTTTCTAACAGTTCTTGCAATCCACTGAGATACTTTAGCCCATGCTTGGAGCTATTTTCTGTTAGCTAAAAGAATTCTAGCAATTCTATAGTGTTATTTACTGAAATTGGCCATAATGGTATATAAAGACTATTGGTCTGCTTTGAACTAACATATTTGCTACTCAGATTTCAACTGCTCAACTGTTTGATTATGATGAGGAATGCAGTATCTTCAACTGTTAAAAGTATACTGATGTGTTCTTTAAAATGGGGCTATTTTTTAAGGATTACAGAAGTGCAGAAATTATATGATTCTGTCTTGATTCAGGAAAAGGAAACACAAAGGGTTAACCTCTTATAGACAATTTAATTATGATTTTGAACATGATTCCAAAACTGACTCCCCCAATGCACATACAAAGGAACAAAAAGGCAGAAGGCTACATGATACATTCAGTCATTTTATCAAGGCTCTCTGCACACAGATTTTTTTTTTTTTAAGAATTATTAAGGAAGCTGGAAATGGCTTGTACAAAGTCTCTGATAAAAGCTCCATTTTTTCCCCCTGGAGAAATAGGCTTTCTGCATATTCTCCCACCATTACCAAACCTGGTTAGGCCTGTTTGGGTGTAGTTTACAGACTGGTTTTTCTTCCTTTTAGTAGCAATGCTGTTTTTTTCCCTCTCTTCTTTCTTTACCCTGATGATATCTATAATCTTTCTCCATAATCTTACTACTGTTTATTGTAGGTCTGATGAAAGTGATTCTTCTCTGTCGGAGGTACACAGGTACTTGGTCTTCCTCCTTTCCATCTTCTGGACTCTTAGGATTACATTATGCTTAATGTATTTACTTGCAGTTCCAAAATTAACTAACTAAACTTGTTTTGCATGTTTTTTTTAAAATTCTGTGCTCCTCACAGCATTCATATTTCTCTTGGATCATTTTTTTTCTGAAGCATTCCTGTTCTGTTTGATTTTAAAAAAAGAATATCTCCAGCATGTGCACTAATTTCTCTCTGAAAATTATCCCTGAGTGGTGTGCAAGTGTTTACTTACTTTTTTCTCTCTTTTCTAATCTCTTAACAAACTCATGGCAAACATTTTCAATTTGCTTTGTTGAAAGTGAAGTCTATAATGAACTGTGTAGGAAAGATGTGTTTTCATTTTACATTCAGGTATATTCACAACAGTTCTTGAATCTTAAAGATGCTAAAAACAGCTGGTCTGTAAGGGAAACATGTCATTGGAGTAAAGGAAATAGAAATTATCAATAATAATACAGAGCATTTGTCATTCTTAAATCTTAAGCATAGGACAAAAATAACCCCTGCAACCGATTCCCAATACGTACATGAGAGTAGGATATAACTAAATAGCTGAACAGTATCAACATGTTGCATATAAGAAAGGTTTAAAAAATTCATTCTGTCTTTATTGCCTGTTTTCCCTCTTCACATTCTAGCTACCTTAAAAAAAACTTCTATATGATGTGTGTGCAAGTTTTTATTTGCATACAAAGCACCTATATTTGAAAGATACAGAGAGTCTAATTCACTATTTAAACAACCATATTTGTTAGGAATGTCAGGTTCATTTTTTCTTGAAAGCTGTTATCAGTTTATTAAGACTAATTTCTTCAGTTTTCATAACTGTATCGACTTTATATCTTTTTCTCAGCAGAATAATTTCAAGTTGCATTCCTTAAAAAGGGGTAAAGCTATACATGCTTCAGTTATATTCCACTTTTCTAATATATAATTTATAAGTAGAAAGATTTTCCATATTTTGTAGGTTTTGATTTAATCTACATATTCTTTTCTCTTATTATTCATATCATTAATACATTAGCATCTTAATATGTAACAAAGGCCTTCAGATGTGCTATGGATATATTCAAAATTTGTCTGTAACGTACAGGAATATTGACTTCTGTACTTCTTGGTTCTTCATAGTTCAGATTTCAGGTTTCACTTCTTGAAAATATGCTATTCAATTGGCTCTGCTTTAATATAATCTCCAGCATAGTGATTTGCTGTTGGATACGAGATTAGAACTGTGGTACAGCTTTAAAACTTTCCCATTTTTCCGAATCCAAGCTTTAAACATTCTCTCCTTGTATTCAGAGGTTTGTAAATACAAGTATATCCCCTTGAGCCAAATTTGATTATCTGGAAAAGTCCATGATATTTTCTTGGTAACAATGGAGAAGTGGTTTGCCATTGCTTTCTTCTGAAATGTTTGTTCAGCTTTCTATTCTAGTTTAGAGGCCTGGAATTTCCTCAAAATCTCCAAGTACTAACCAAACTAACCTTGCTTAATTTTTTATGAGGTTATGCAAGTGTAGATGTGGTGTCTCTCTGCTGAAAAAAAGTTCTTTGATCCAGGAAAATAGAGCAGTTTTTCTCAAAAATTCCCCTGCTGCAGTCCCTCCCTCAGTTGTTGTTCTTTAGATTTCTAGAGCAGATTTGGGTGGTTGTAAGGCTATAGGAAGTTGAAGAATCTTTCAGAATCATCTCTCTTTCTGAAAGAGGTTTGTTCAGTCAAAGAACCTTCTGTCTATAGATGCAGAAGAAGAACAATGAAAGAAATTAAAATCTTTCATAAATTGTTTGGGAAATCATCCAAAGATCATTCAGTAGCTTTGCAGGTTATTTTATTAATACCATTGTCAAATAGTAGAATAGCATATGTGTGCACAATAGATGTCATAATATCATGAACGAAGCTGGCAAAGTACAGTGGGGCAAAAAAGTATTTAGTCAGCCACCAATTGTGCAAGTTCTCCCACT